GCAGCGCCCCGCGGGGCCGTGCGGGCGGCGGGAGGAGAGGCTGGGCCCTGTGCCCTGCGGTGTTGGCACGGCAGTGCCAGCCAGGCAAGAAGGACCCAGCACCAGCCCTGAGAGCCGGAGAGGCCACGGGGCTGGTGGGCACCGGGGTGTGAGGGCCTCTCCAATGGTCTGGCCCGCTTCAGGGGTGGCGATTTGGAAGTTCCGTGCTGTGGCTGAGTGTACCCGCGCTGGGGCTGCGCGTGTGGGGCCGAGCGGCCTCCGCAGCAGCGTGGGGTCCCTGCGCGGGCCCCGCTGCCCCCGCAGGCTCACCCCCGAGATCGCTGGGGCCGCCCCCGCTCGGGCCCGTCAACCCTGCCCTGCGGACAGGGAGCGTGAGGCCGCCTGCAGAGGAGCCCTCCGAGGACTGCGATGTGCCCGCAGACGCTGTCCTCGTCCCGCTGCGGGAGGCCCTGGACGCCTGCCGGCCCACAGTGCAGGTGAGGCCTTCGGTGCTTGTTTCTCTAGCTCCAAGGCCCGTTTCACCCTGCTCTTCCAAGACGTCGCTGCTGTTCTGCACTAGGGAGCGGGGAGGTTCATCAGCCAGGAGAGGGGCCAAGCAGGAGCTGGTTGCTTCTAGGAGAGCTCTGGGGCTGGGAGAGCCACCTCTACCCAAGACAGCTGCTCAGGGGCTCCCTGGCAAGGCCTCGCTCAAGCTCTTCCCTGTGCTTCCAGAAACAAGTGTGTGAGGACATTGGGCGGCGGCTGACAGTCCTCGGGGACATGTGGGCTCAGGGGAAGCTGTCAGCCCCTGTGAGGAAGAGGATGAGCCTCCTGGTGCAAGGTGGGGAGCACAGAGACTGGATCTGTGGCAAGCCTGGGCCACTGGGCATATGGTGCCCACCAAGATGCTGGCATGGGGCTGCTGATGCTTCCCTTTCCTCGGCAGAGCTGCAGCGATGTTCCTGGGATGCAGCTGATGAGATCCACCGCTCGCTCATGGTGGACCACGTGAACGAGGTGAGCCAGTGGCTGGTGGGTGTCAAGCGCCTGATCGCCGAGATGAGGAACCTGCCCACAGGGGAGCTCGCTGAACCCCACGGTGACAAGACTGAGACCGGGCCTGACCAGGAAGCTGCCTGATGCAGACTGTGGGCAGTGCAGCACATGGTGGGGGCGATCGGCAGAAGGAGGGCCCCTTCGTGCCTGAGGAACTGTGGGTGTCTCCTCTTGCTCCTCATTCCGGGAAAAGGGAGAATTTTAATCTCCTTGACATTTTAGTGGCGATTCACTGCAGGATGTTTAATAAATAGCACCAATCTGGCTCCAGGCTGTCCTAGTACTCTGGGCCAGGCTCGCTCCTTTTTCTTCAGTGAGTGTTTGGAAATGCTGGGTGAGGCCCTAAGAACCTCAGGCTGGTCTCAAGGAGCTTCACCCCAGTAGGGTGTTCCCTGCCTGGCAGCACATTAAGGGAAGGATTCCCCAGCAAGTATTGCCTGCAGCATCACCCAGGTCCACCTGGAGTTTGCCTGCTGCATTGGTTGGCAAAGTCCGGGCCACTCTAGCCCAGCCTTGGGCAGAAGTGGGGAGACCCATGGCGGCAGGGCAGCCATGCAGCTCCTCTGCACGGAGACAGGCCCTGGAGACGTTGTGGGTGACTGGGTAAGGCAACGTGCAGCCATCCTGGAGCAGCCTGGCGTACGGGAAGAGCAATAGGGCACCATCAGCCCTTACTGGGGGAGTCCTGCCCACCCTGGCACAGCTCTGACCCAAGCGTGAAGCTCAGACCTGGAAGGCTCAAGTGCAGTTACCCCTGAGACAGTGGGGATACAGGAGGAAACGTCATGCTGGACCTAGGCTGCAGCAGCTCTGCACCGTGGCGTGAAGGCAAGGGCAGGGAGCCTGTTGTGTCTCCAGTCTACGCCTGCAAGAAGGTCTCACCCGCTGCCCCCAACTGTGGCTGCCCCAGCCCTGTGAGCGCCCTGCCCACGCCAGCTGGGGCAGGAGGCAGGGCAGGAGGCCTCCCAAGCCTGGCAGCAGTCAGCTGCTCCCAGCTCTCAGGCCCAACCATTTCCAAAGCTGTGGAGAGATACCGGATGTGCTGCGGGTCCTGGCAGTCCTGCATTCACCTTACAGGGTCTCCTTGCACAAGGAAAGATCATCGGGGGTTGCTTGGCTTATCCTCATCACCCTCCCCAGAGCTCCAAGGGCCCCCTGAGCCCCAGCACAGAGATCCACCAGCCCAGAGCAGGGGTTTCATGGTGTTTATTGATCACGCGTGAGCTCCCTAGGCAGTCGCACCCGCCAGTCGTGCCGGAGCCCATGAGGTGTCACGCGTCCATCCCTCCCCAGCATCACAGGGAGGGCTGCAGCCAGCCGGTCACGGTGCCAGCACCTCCACGAGGCCCAGACACAGGCCCAGCCATGGCCTGGAGACGGGGAGCTGAAAACTCAGATGTCCATCTCAAACTGGTCTTGATCTGGAAGGGCAGGAAGGGAAGACAGAGTCAGGGTTAAGATGAGGCTACCCTAAAGGAAACGTGCAGGTAAATTAATTGCCATAGGGCAGAGAAAATTGTGTGTCTCTCCTTGCCCTTTTGGCTAGGTGGGAACCACACTCCCCAGGTAGCGTGGTCCAATTCAGCTGCTTGGGCAGGGGATGGAGGGCCTGGGCTGCTCACCTGGCAAGGTTTCTTCGCTCTCATTCTGCTCCTTGAGCTCCCCCAGCTTGACGAGGCTGGGCTGGGCCGGGGAGGTGACACCGGGGATCTGGGGCAGGCAGCAGGGAGGGGTCCTGGCCACGGGCGAATTCTTGCACTCCAGCAGGAACTTGCGGTCGTAGATGATGCGGGTACCTGCCAAAAGCAGGGGCAGTCAGGGACCGTTGGCGCCTGGCAGCCCCCTTCCCCCAGCGCCATGGCCAGAGGCTGAGCCCAGAGCAGGGGGAGGGCAGAGGCCAGGCCCAGCGCTCCGCCACGGCTGCACTTGGTGCCAGAGTCGCGTTGCGAATTCTTGCACTCCAGCAGGAACTTGCGGTCGTAGATGATGCGGGTACCTGCCAAAAGCAGGGGCAGTCAGGGACCGTTGGCGCCTGGCAGCCCCCTTCCCCCAGCGCCATGGCCAGAGGCTGAGCCCAGAGCAGGGGGAGGGCAGAGGCCAGGCCCAGCGCTCCGCCACGGCTGCACTTGGTGCCAGAGTCGCGTTTCCTGCGCAGTGTGAACCTCCCGGCCCGCACCGCAGCCCTTCCCCACGCCATTCCTCCCCGTCCAGCTCCCGGGGCCCTGCTGAGGCACCGCGTGGCTGCGGGGACACACCTCGACGCCCGGAGCAGCCCGCGCGCTTCCGCCCTCGCCGAGGGGCCCAGCTGTCCCCGCGGGGGCCGGGCCGGGGTGGAGGGGACAGAGCGACGCCTCGTGCCAGGCTGCCAACGGCAGAGAGCAGCTGAGGGCAGCAGCTGGCGCGGCGATAGCCCCGCTAGGAACTCCCTGTTCCTCGGGCCCCGGCCCGGCCCAGCACAACAAACACGTTACACAACCCGCGCGGCCGTGCCAGCACCTGGCCCGGCTCCCTAGGCGCACGATAAGGCTTATCGAGGGCACCCAACGACGCCCAACTGCAACCCGCTCCTCTCCTGCGCGCGGGGCCCCGCGCTCCCTGGGGCGCAAGCGAGGGCTTTGCTGGGGCTGCAGGAGGGAAAGCTCCCTGTGCAGCTCCTAGGGAACCCTGAGGATTCCAGCTCCGGGGCGGAGCTGCAGGCAGCCCGCGGGGG